CCCTAAACCCTAAACCTTAGGGCTCCGAGCCGGCTGCTCTCCCGGAGTGCGGACATACGCAGATGAATCAGTGGGAAGTTGGACCGGGTTCTGACAATGTTTAAGGGTTTAGGGGTTTAGGGTTTAGGGTTCAGGGTTTAGGATCTAGGATTTAGGGTTGAAGGGTTTAGGGTTGAGGGGTTTAGGGGCTTAGGGTTGAAGGGCGTAGGGACAGAAATCCAACGAATTAACTTGCACAACCAGCGCTAATCTCAAGATCTTGCCGGCAAACAGCCCTCGGATTTAGAACCAGTCATTACCCTAAACCCTAAACCCTTAACCTGGAACCCTAAAACCAAACCCTAAATCCTAAACCCCAAACCCTGAACTCTAAACCTTAAACCCTGAACCCTAAACCCTAGACTCTAAACCGCAAAACTGAAATCCTCATCTCACGCCCCCCCAAACCCAGGCTTCCCTCGCTCTCCTCCAGTGCTATGGGAAAAAGCTTTAAAGTTTAGGGTGTAGGGTCTAGGGGAAGGATACAGCTACATTACTAATAATGTCGGAGGAGTCAAGAAAATGTACTGCAATGTAATACGGTTGATACTCGAAATCAGGCATGACCGTACTATACTGTAGTACTATAATTCTCAATATATAGTATACTTAGGGCCATGCAGGATTGCAACTATCCACCGTATGGAATTCTAAATATACCCTGCACTACTGTTGATGGATGAAATCTTGCACCACCTAGGGGCCCTAAAGTACTGTAATTCCTAAGACTTTTGGGACATAGGGTGGTGCAAGATTTCCTCCATCAACACTACGGTGTCGGCCTGCGGTACGCGGAGTCTCCACAATACCAGCTTTGCTCGTCGTGGACGTCTTCCTGGGCTCCAGACAAGGGGGATTGGGGTTTAGGGTTTAGGGTTTGGGGTTTGGGGTTTGGGGTTTAGGGTTTAGGGTTTGGGGTTTAGGGTTTAGGGTTTAGGTTTTTTAACGCTTAGGGGTTTAGGGTCTAGCATCAAAGTAATACATTAAGAGGACCCCCCACCATGTATTAATAGTGATATCATCGGAATATACAAGGACCTTAATATGATCACCAGTATCCCTTACGGTCACCATTACTGGGTGGAGGGGCCCGCCTCAGGGCTAGGGTTTAAGGGTTCAGGGATTCCGGCTTAAGGATTCGGATTGAAAGTTGAAGGTTTAAGGCTTCAAGTATAGAGTTTAGGGGTCCAAAAACTCTTTTTCTTGCACCATACTACCCTAAACCCTAAACCCTAAACTCTATGCAGCATGGCATCCTTGCTCAGCATGGCGCCGCAGTAGGACATGAGGAGGCAAAGAAGGCATCCGAGCGCTAAGTAAATGTACCTGGGCAAGGTCGTTTAGGGTTTAGGGTTTAGGGTTTAAGGTTTAGGGTGTAGGGTTGTATGGTTTTGGGTTTAGGGTTTAAGGTTTAGGGTTTAGGGTTTAGGGTCGTATGGTTTTGGCTCCTTTGGTTCTGTCATAACTCTGGGATTCTGTTGCAAACGTTGGAAGCCGTAGTGAGGGTGCCATGTCAATATTCCCAAGACTCCTTGAGATCTCAACACCCCTGGTTTCCCACATAAGCTACAAATCAGAATTCCCCATATAATTAACGGGCATAGGTTCCTTACAAGGGACTATATTCGGGACTGAACTAAACTACAAGGAGGACCGGCATGTCCACCGTGAACAGTCCCTTGGTGACGCGATTATTGACAGCAGCACACATGAGTAGCTTTTTTTGGTGGTTGAACCTACTAAGATAATCTTCCTTATGTAAATTACTATACCCAAACGCAGAATATAATCTTACTCTATATTGGCTACCATAGTATCCCCAAATAAAATACTACTCACATGATCCTCGCTTTAGGGCTCAGGGGCCTGAGGCCTGCGCCACGCTGCTCCATGCAAACTAAAGTGCTCGCTGAGGCGAGCCTCCCGCATCTGAGGAAACCACATGATACGGCCCTGTGGTGTACTGAAAAACACTAGAAGAGCGTACCATTATGTATATCAGTACTTATAAGGAGTGTAGGGTGTTTCCTGCTCATGATTTGGACACCATGCCCCCAAGTGCATGCGAGATCTCATGTCGGGATGACACACTGGGGCATTGAGAACAAGCACAAGGCTTAGGGTCCCTTGCTTTTGGTACTTCAAACGCTGAAACTTCAAAAGCCGAAAATGTAAGCAGCTTACATTTCAAAGCAGCATTGACTTCAAGGCCCAGACCTTGCAGCAATACGGTTTTTCGGGTTTAGGCCTTCGGCAAGGAGATGATGCTGAAGCTTGGGCTTGGGCAATGTTCTAACATTTTTGAACCTGCAGCTTGGAATTAAAGAATGCCGAAAATGGCCCCTTGAACCCGCCTTGGACCCTCCTATCATGGAATTTCACGTGTAGTATATCCATCAAAGAAGATGGATCCTCAAAAGCTATCCACAAAGACCATTGTCCTTAGCAAAGAGAAGGTTTTGGCATTAGGGCTTAGGGTTTAGGGAATGAAGGTCGGGTCAAGGCTCTGATTTCTCCGCGCAGGCTAGGGCCCCTATCTGCTGGTTCTTAGTACGGAAAAGGGAATATATTATATGTAGGGATGACATTCCCTTATTCCCTACTAAGAACCTGCAAGCCTAGGACATAGAGTTCAGGATTCAAGGCTTGCAGTGGTCTCTCAACCCCTCCAGCCGAATCCAGCCCCACGCCCCAAAGTACTGACGCGGTTAAAGTGCTTAAGGGTTTGAGAGCTTAATCAAGGGTTGAAGATTTTGAGATTTTGAGGGTTCAGGGTTCAAGGGTTAAAGGTTTAGGGGTTGAAGGGGTTTAGGGTTTACCCCCCTTCTCCATAATCCTGCCACTGTCATACCAACTGCCCAGCAATGAAACAAAACTCATCTATCCAAAGCACGAAACCCTAAACTCTACACCCCAAAACCTCAAAACCCTAAACCCAAATCCTAAACAGAAAATCCTACACCCCGAACCCCCCAAAAAACCCTAGACCCCTAAATTCATCCTCACCCGAATTCCTAGCACCAGCCTGTCCTCCTCACACCCAACCTTCTTGTTGCCCTAAACCCTGGAGTCGAAACATACAACCCAAACTCTGAAGCCTAAACCAGAAAACCATCAATCCTTAAAAAACATGATTTAGGATATCGATTCTTAGTGGTTTAGAGGTTCAGCGGTTTAGTGGTTTATTTGTTGAGGGTTTAGGGTTTAGGGCTCCCTTGACCTGAAAACCTAGACCCCAAACCCCAAACCACTCTTAAACCCTTGAAACCTCAACCCTAAACATTTTCTGCAAGTTGCCGGACTCCGCAAGTCACCTCCACCTTGAAAGCTTGGAAGGCGGCAACGGTCACACACTTTCGGGTTTACGGTCGAAAGTTTTCGGTTGTTGAAATCTCAATTGTTTAGGGTTTTAAGGTAAAGGGTTTACGGTTCAAGGTCTAAGGCTTAAGGGTTTCGGATTTAGCCTAGCTTAGCTAAGTGTTGTGTCTGCCCCGTACCCTCGCCAGTTGCTACTTAGCATCTGCCATATGAGCCATAGTCTAAACTCCTTAAAGGGGGTTATATAGGGGGATTATATAGGGACTACTATAGGACTTATTAAGGGGGATACTAGGAGTTTAGACAATGGCTCATATATGTATATGTGCGCTTCAGGGCCTGTAGATCGCTACATAACCCCACCGGAATGTTCATGGGACTTTGTAACTACGAACAACTGGGCTTATATCCATCTTCATGGAACCCTAAACCCAACCCAACCCTAAACCCTAAACCCTAAACCCAAAATAACCCACATAAGTCCCACTGGGAGGGCTGCGAGCCCCAGCTATTTGCAATTACGCGCCCCCATGGCCTTTCCCTACCTATAGACTCAAACCCAGGACCCAGGGTTTAGGGCTTAGGGATAGACCTTCAACGCCATATCTGCTGTATAAATCCCTATATAGCCCCCTTGCAAGGCGCCTAGCTTTCAAGCTGCGAACCCAAGATTCCAAAACACCTAACGTAGAACCCTTATGAATAAACTCCCCTTCCGTACTAGGAATTGTGGTAGGGATCCCAATATTAAGGCCCTGAAAAGGAGGGTGGTTTCTTAATCACGGGTCTACATTAAATCCTAAATTCTTAAACCGCTGAACTCCTCGGAAAGCCAGGCAGGCCTTTGAAGAACACTTCCAGGATCTTACAGATTTTGGGTTTAGGGTTCAAGGTTTAGGGGTCTAGGGTTTAAGGATCAAAGGTTTTGGAAATAAGTGTTCAGGGATTTGGGATTTGGGGGGTTAAGGGTTCAAGGGGCTATGTTCATTCTATTAAGATTTTTTCTCAAGTTGGATTATTCTCTCCCGCTATCATGCTCAATGGTCTGCTAGTTGAAAAAATTGGTTGCTAAAAGACCTACATATGTATGTATATCTATTAATGAAGGAATAAATTGAGCTTAAATTGAGATCCCTATAGGAACAAGTTGAGATCCATGTAATAGTCTCAAGAATACTGGGCCCCCATAATGTTCAGCACATCCAAAGGATCTTTAGTTTCACAACCTACCATATGTTGCTTCTCAGGATTTCGGGGACGATCGCATGGATGGAACCCTTGAAGCCCTAAACCCAGGTGACCCCTCCACCCTTGTTCTCAACACCCACATGTGCTACCAGGTCCGATCAAAGTATAGGCATGAGCACTTCAAACACGAACCCCGGAAGCCAATTGCAGAATTTGCCTTGAATCAAACAAACTAGGATCCTTAATATGATTTCAGGAATGTTGCTTGTTTAAGGTAATCTCTACATCAACCCTCATAATAGTACTTACCCATACCAGAAACTGAGGGGTAGATAGGGCTCTCGAAAATAATCCCTGTAATCATGGGCCGCTATGTAATCCCTACAACTGCGTAATTGTTCTGTTACAGTACGTGTATTCTTTAAGCGTGGGGTAGATCGCACTCCCTACAGCAATCCCTACATTAGCGGGCCCCAATAATCATCCCCACAAAGTCACTCTAGTACTACCTGCCTCCCTCAAGACAGTGGTAAATCAGGCCCTTTGGGGTACTAAGACGAAAGATCAACAATGACAACAGTAAGAATAACAACACTGGCAGCAACAATGAACCCAACAAACACAATGACTGAAAAGTACCCTTAACCCTTAACTATTAACCCCAAACCCTCAAACCTAAACCCTAAATCCCAAACCCTAAACCCTAAACCCTAAACCCAAAATCCCAAAAACCTAAACACTCAACCCTAGATCCCTAAACCCTAAGCCCAAAAACCCTAAACCCTAAACCCTACTGTGGGAAGGGAAACGTTCAGCCGTGAGTCGGATGACTCCATGCAAGATGTCGCCTGAGTAGCATCAAACTCAACACTTATATAACTGCTTGGCGGTTAGGGGCTTAGGGCTTAGGGTTAAGGGTTTAGGGTTTAGGGTCTAGGGTTTAGAGTCTAGGGTTTAGTGTTTAGGGGGTAGGGCTATGATAAGGAAACCCTGTTACTTACTATACCCGTATTATGGTAACCTCAAGTAAGTTCCTTGACAGCAACCCAATTAAACCTTCGTCACAAGGACGGAGGATCAAGGGAATAGGGTTCAGGACAGGGGGTCAGGACTTGGCATTACCAAGCACAGGCGTTGCTTGTAACAGTAATGTTGATTATGAGAAACCATAAAATTACGAATATCTAATCAGAAGTTGGGTTTCCGAGGAGCCGCGTCACAAGATACTACCCCATGACATTTTGCCAGGGGATATATCGGGGAGATTTTCAGTGTATAAAGGGATGTCCGAACCTGGGTTCAGGATCAGATACAGCATTCCCGGAAGCAACGGGGCACGAATTGTCAGCGCATTGAACAACAAGGCATTCCCTCTACAGGTTTCACATCGCATGTATCTGAGCTAGCGTCTCAAAATTCCGAGCATCCCCCTTAATAGCCCCAAAAGTGATCCCTATATAATCCCCTAGATAACCCCCTTTATGGAGTTTAGACTGTTGCTCATACGGATAAAGGTTTGGAGGCTGAGTGTTGAGAGCTCGCCACAGAAAAACGCTGGGGAATGGAAAGCACAGTCCGCCATACAACTCGCGCACTGTTGAAAGAAATCCAGTATAGCACAAGGATTGAAAAGCAAAATACAGGATCCAATATTTAAAAGACACTGTTAAAGTCAGAAGCTTGAATTATCAACCACCCCTGTATTACACTGTACACATTTCTCGCTCCACGCTCTGTCCGAGATTTCAAGGTACCCTGACTGTATACATGAGTGCGATGCGCAGATAAGGAGGAACTAGCACTCATGCTAATGGTGATACTCACATTCACACTAGGTTTTACACTGGTGCTGCTACCGAAACAGAAGCTGATGCTACCACCAAGACATCTGTCTCTGTCTCTTCTTGACCGAGTTCACGAGCAATGCTCAGACTTCAGGCCTTTCTCTCTTGGGCTTCGGACAACATGCGCCATGGCAACTATGGAACTATATGGGACTAGCGGAGGCTGTCAAAGGCTGTCAAAGGGGCTTCAGCAGTTGCCCTCTCAGTGAAAAGCGCTCAAAGTGCAAGAATCGTAACGCCTGAAAATCGACAGACAATAATAGCCGCTGACGAACATCAAGAGTCATTCAGAATGACTTTGACCCGCTGATAAAGGTCCGAGTCTTCTGACTTGCAACTCAGTGCCATTCCGGCAGCATAAACAGAATATTGGCAATTATTCAAACTTCTACATAAAAATGATTGCATACCAAAACAGCAATTGGCACTTCAAGAAGGGCAGGGCTCCTTCCAAGCTGATAAAGTCTCGAAAAAGCTGGGATGGCAAAGTAAAGACGCAATTAAGTAGTATGCAGCTGACAGGGTCCCGGGCTTAGGGGGTAGGACAACCTACAGAACACGAGAAATTTGCAAAAGAACCAGCGATGCGCGTGTTTCTGTACGTTGGGGCCCGCCGTGAACCCGCTTGCCATCTGGATTCCAAACAAAGAACCATATGGGGGTTTACCAAAGTGAGCGGTAACCATATGTTATTGAAAGCTCTCACGTAACAAACGTTAACACTAAACTGCTGAATCTTCAGAAAACTCTAACCCTAAACCGTGCTGGCGTTTGAACCTCGTCGTGTCGCATCCATCCTGCAAATCAACCTGCCCAGTCGCGTGGTGTTGATTGAGGGGTTAGGTTTTAGGAATTGGGGTTTGGGGTTTTGAGTTCAGAGCTGAAACAAAAAAGAGAAGATTCTATTCTGCCTGAATTACCAGACCCAAACAGCAAAGATGACTGTACTTGAAATTGGAGACGATGGTGTCCTCCTGAAAACAACCCTAAACCTTAAGCCCCGGACCCTCTTCAGACTCAGGGCTCGAATTGCGCAAACTTAGGGAAGACCTTTAACTTAGCTTAGGTCACTGACCCCGTTAGAGCAACGGTTACCACAATAGGAATAGGATTCAAAATAGTAAGGCTTTTAATAGGAGACCTTCAAAGACATTTGGTGTAAGGGGAATGACCCAACATACAGGAATCACAAATTACAAGGGAATAAATAGTTTTCAGTCTAGTCCGTTCATGACATGGGGGTTTCAAAGGCAGCGGTCCCGAAGATATACCCCAAAATGCTATTGCAAGGACTCCTGGATAGGGTTGAGGATTTAGCGCCGAACATTGGCAGGCAACAAGCATGCAGGCACCATAGCGGGCCCTGTTGATACCAAAGGCTGCTAGAAAGGTTTAGGGTTTAGGGTTTTGGGTTTAGGGTTTAGGGTTTAGGGTTTGGGGTTTAGGGTTTAGAGTAGGGTTTAGAGTTTAGCCAGGGTTGTTTGCGATCATGGTGCCAGTTGTGGCATGCTCACTCCTCACCGTAGCTTTCACTCTCAGGTTGAGCCTTACACATCGGGGTTTAGTCAAGCAAATCCACACTCTGTCGTGATGACTCTTCAATTCGACAACACCATCATGCGATATAGTGGTTTCAGGGTCTAGGGCTTAAGGCTTAGGATGATATAATAGTTTCCATTTCCTTTGCCATTCTTCACCCAAAGCCTTAAACCATAAAACAGTGCCGGCACCTTTCCCCTGTCAGCATGCCGATGCCATCTGCAATGCCTCGGCCAGCCTGAGCTGGGAAACACTCTCAGCAAATCCGCACACGGTTGAGAGTTTAGGGTTTAGGTTTAGGCTCCATGGCTTAGGACTGAGGATTTTTGGGCTTGGGACATTCTTTTTTTTTCCGGATTTGGGACTTAGGCTTTAGGGTTTAGTGACAGCAACCACCTACCCGCTGCGCAAGTTGCAAGCCTACGCCTTGCATTATCCATCAAGAGGGCCCTATGATCTCCTCCATAAACCCCATATGAGCTATAGTCTAAGCTCCTGCAAGAGGGGTTATATAGGGTTTAGGTTTTAGGGTCTAAACTCCTTAAAGGGTGGTTATGTAGGGGATTCTATGGGGATTGGGGGAGGATTATAGGGCTTGCTAAGAAGGATACTAGGAGTTTAGACTTTAGCCCATATGGGGTCTAAAGGTCCTGTAACTAATGACCGTTTTGGGAACAGGAAATTGAATCAACTACCACACATCATTGCTGTATATCCCTTGGCCCCTTAACCGAAAATTCCAATTCAGCTATGATCTTAACTCCTAGTATCCCCCTTGAGCCTTAATAACCTCTATAACTCTCCCTTGTATAGTCCCCTATATAAGTGGTAACCCCGCTTTAAAAACTCAAAACCCTAAAATCTGTCTAATCCGCTATATAATCCCCCCTCGAGAAGCTTTGCTGACCCTAAACCCTATATGACCCCCCTCAACGGAGTTCAGACCCGAAACCCTAAACAGCCCCCCTTTCAGGAGTTGAGACCAAACCCCAATTGAGCAGTGTTTTTTTTGCTGGTTGAACCTAGTAAGATTATATATTCCTTATATAAGATACTATACCCCAAAGGAGGATAGAATCTTACTCTATATTGGGTACCATAGTATCCCCAAATAAAATTCTACTCAATTGAGCAGCTGACATTGGCATGAGACCTGAGAGCGTAGCTACCCTGGGGCGTCCAGCTTCAGTTGCAGGCGAATCTGCAAGCGATGAATTTAGGGTTTAGGGTCTACGGTTTTAGGGTTTAGGGTTTAGGGTTGTGGGGTTTTACGGTTCAGGGTTCAGGTGGAAGTGCCCTGCGTATACAGACCTACTGTTCTTCTTACAATCTGTTTGTAGGTGTCTACGAAATCAATGCAAAAACAGGAAAATATATATCATTATCACGCTCTACTGCAAGGGCAAAAGCATGAGAAGCAACTTTGAGGGTTCAAGGGTTGAAGGTTCATCGCTTGGAGCGCTTTGAAGGTGGTTTGGCGGTGGTTAAACAAAGCAAGAAGATGTTCTTCTTGTGAACTGCTCCAGACAAAATGAGTATACTATTCTGGGCCAAGGACCCCTCAGGCCGTAGAGTCGTTTCATTTTCCATGTTCTTTTCCAGCAAAATTCTCCACTATTCCGGGTAATCCATATAACCCTACGTAACCCAAGCATAACTCCTAAAGCCTACACCCTGAGGAGTTAGGGTTGTCAAAATTATGGTTTCGTTTTGGGTTCCCAATGTACCACAGCCCTCGATATGTGGCTATATTATAGGGTGCCCAGAAAATGGACCGCACTTTTGAGATCCTATCATTTATCGTTAGGCATGGCCACGGCCAAATGTAGGCTCTGGGAAAGCCAGCCGATCGCGTGCGACCGCCAGCCTCTTCGAGAAATGGCAAGCTGCGCCAAAAATCCCAAGCGGGCCCAAGACGCATGGTGCACAAAATGGCTTGCGCCCTAAAACGCTCTTATGGACCTCCTTGTAAGACCCCGCTGTAACTCCCCCTACTAGAAGCCCGCGTTCAGCATGTCAGCCTAATTGTACTTACCAACATAGAGCCGGAGCCTCACTGAACACGCCTGTCGCGGCACCTGCAAATACATGTCGAACACAATACTCAGCCTAAGCGGGTTCTGCCAAGATATCATGTGCATTTTCATCTTCAAATGCTCTGCCACGAACTAGGGTTATAGCCGGTTGAAATCCCCTTCCTCATGTAGCTGCCCATTAGCTTTCTGGTGTCCTACATTTTGTAACCCTGTTATCCCGAACTGTTCGCTGCCAACAAATCAGTCAGCGTCTTTTTCTCTCACGCATCGTTGCGCATGCCTTCTTGGAGGCCGGAGCAGTCTGCTGCAGCTAGGCACCGGCCAACGAAGCACACGGAAGCACATCAGCTCTAGCTGAGGGTTGGTTGCCTCAACCCTAAAGGAAGCACTTCGGGCCTGCCTGGTGCACTATATATGGAAGTGGCACCATCAGTGCACGTACCATGCGGGGTTTCAGGTACGCACGATGCTGCCGCCGCGTGGCCAGCACCACGCAAGCTTGAAGAAGTCTAGTCAAACTGGGTATCCAGCGTAGACCTATGCACCCAAAGACATAAAAGCATGATGGGGTCCATCTTTAGGATCATAGGAGTCAGGACTGCCTTGAGCATTCAAATCCTGAACGAGTATGTAGGATGATGTCAAGTACAATATGTCAGGTGGGCACGACTTCACACTGCCATAAAGCTCAAAAAAGGGGAAGGTCTGTACATTCAATTCGCTGCTTTTGCCGCAACACTCGAGCATTGGAGGTGAGCTGAGAAACCTTCAGAACATCTGCGCACACATGATCATCAGTGTGTGACGGTTAGCATAGCTGCTTCCCGACTCCGTTATGGTAAGTGCTATTTAAAAGTGACTGTGCTGACACTCATTAGCGCGGTTCTCGCAATTTTCCTTTGCAAGTGAATCATGGACTCAAAACAAGCCCTTACCTATTTTGAGCCTTGGACTCCCTATGATACCATCAAAAACCAGTGAGGACCGCGCTGGCAGCTGGGTTGACAACGTCAGCATGCACATCCTCTATGATGACATCCACATCCGAATCCTGCGGGCGCAAACAAGCGTAAATGAGGTTGGGAGGTTCTGCTTGAAAACGCGCATGTCCTTGGGTGGGGTGACGGGCAAGGACTCCTAGCCAGACCAGGCTAAGACACGAAGAAAGCCGCGGTGGAAGGCACCAAACCTCTTTGACTGAGCTGCCGACGCGAGGAACCACTGGTAAGCCTGGCTGCAGCACAGCCACGAAGCTATTCCAGCAGCATGCGAAGCACAAGTGTAGCCTTCTTGAGATGGCGATGTGCAAACTTGCAACGCTGCACCTGTCAATAAAGGCGTGGATACTTTGCATTACGCTGGGAAAAAAAGCAGATAATTATGCCTGCTACTGGAGAAGACTCCAGGGAGATATCAGCACGATCACTGCCATCGGGCGGCATGTTTTGTGTTTTGCTGGCTGAAATTTGACCAAAATGTGCCATCTCCATGCGGCAACCCTAACACCTACGATCCCCAAATAACTCGTTTTGTTGGTACCTCCTAATCTCATGAATAGATTAGAACCCCTTAAAGGGTTGAACGGGCCTATTGCAGATCTCAGCTTACCCGAAACCCTAGCCGGCCGACCTTGGTAAACCCTAAACCCTGAACCCTAAACCCTAGGCCCTAAACCTCAGCCCCTCGACCGTACTGACACGGCTTCAAGCTGACAGAGGCGCGCAAGTTGAAGGCAGGCATGTGGAATCGGTAGCAGCACTTGCGCATCTAGGGTTTAGGGTACTGAAGTGAAACCCAACTATAAGAGCCATATAGGGTTGTATATTATATATGGGTATATAGGATGTCTGGAGACTTGTATTCCTAGACCCTCCTCCTACCCTCTATTAGGGCCTAAGTACCCATTATTAGGGACCATATATCCCCAATTAAGGGTACAAGGAAGGTCCTGGTTTGCAGAATTTATGAGCTCGTTTTCAAACTAAGCGCGCATCAGGTGCTCCTAGCTTAGGACCACACTGGCCAGCGACTTTCGCAGGTTTGCCCACTTCTCAGTTCAGCTGAGCATCCCTGGCAGGGCAAAGAAATGGGTTGCTGTTAAGGAGCTTGAATCAAGATGTCAAAAGCAAGCTGGTATGGCTAGTAGTAGGGTTTCCTTACTACAGTAACTTGCTTTAAGTTCGAATAATGGGTATATATAACTAGTAACAGGATTTT